TGTAATGAAAGAACAATAAAATTCATAGTCATTAGTGAAATCATTAAAGCTTGACTGTCTGAAGTCTCTTGAGTATTCATTGTGGTGAATTTACTATTGTTCCACGGTTGAGTGCTAGTTACTAATATGAACTAACTTAGAACTATTTAAGCACTAATAAGTTTGTACATATTTCACAGACTTAGTGTCTGCACTCTAGTTCAAAACTTTTAACCCAGCTTGATGTTAAAGAGCTTCCGCTGTATAGCAACCTGATTATCACGCGATGACATCTTATGCTGTTGTTTTAATTAGCTGGTTTTTGGGCTGCATGGGGGACTTGGAGCAGTCACTGTAGCTTGCCTAGAAAGAGGAAGCGAGTATGTGCGAATCCTCTGACACAGGCACAGGCACCCCTGAGTGAATGTGGTAAAGAAGAYGGCTCGGAAGAACAGATTTCGCCTCCAAAAGGTATGAAGATAATCTAAATAAATTTATGCATACATTAATTGTTGGAATTGTGTAAGAGTACTGAAACATCATCATTATCAAGTGTATCATCATCAATATCACCATCATAATCTAAATCCACAGCATGAATTAACATAAATTAGTATTTTTAGCTACTCATGTTGACGAATTATATAACTGTATGTGMGTACTATATGAATCATTCCATTAAATTTCTATCTTTAAAGATTGCGTCAGTCATGAATCCCTTGGCATGAAAGACGAACGAATCATTCCCAATGGTAACTTTGGAGCCTCAACCTATGCAAACTTGCCTTGTTTACCACATTTTGCACGTCTTGATTCGAAGGGTTGGTGTGCTGGACGTAGACAAACGGGGGAATCAGTATGGGTGGACCTGAACGCAGTCAAAACTATAACCAAGATATCCATGCGTGGCCGAGATGGTAATGATCAAAGGCCAACTCAGTTTACCTTAGCGTTTCGTAAAACCTCTTTGGACCAGTGAGCCGGGTATTTTGGAGGACCCCAAGAAACGTCATCATGCCACAGGGGGCCCAGGCTCAACAGTTGTGTTGTTTTCACGGCGGTGTCAAAGTATTAATTACGGGGTTCGCGGTTCGAGCCTTCATGAAGCCGTAATTTTTTTCTACTTCATTTCTTGAGACTTTTCAAGACTTTCTTTTTCTTTTCTTTTTTCTTTAATTATTATAAACAGTTTTATGAATAAAGATTGATTTTTAAAGCCATTTTAATATTTTTCCCCCCTCATACATAAAAATAGACAAGGGAGGTAAGTCAGCGATCGAAATTTGCCAACCGGCTCTAAACTACGGCCTCTAAGACACCTAAAATTAATCCAATGGACATCAAACTCCGTACAGCTTTCGATCAATACCTATTCTCTCTTGCCACCAATGTTCATCCTCCAGTGAAAAATATTTTCCGAGATATTTTAGTCAGAAGATCAACATACTCCAGCCTACCGATGCACGGTACTTTCAACTCGTGCACCAACGGAAATGCCTCGCTCTGGGGTGAGAGGACGTGATGTAATGTAGTTGTAGTTTTCATAAAAATCGCAATGTAATTCACCGTTACATCGGTGTCCGCATTCTGTTGGAGTTCTTAATTGTCTATGAACCTGAAATATTCAAACTTAAATTTACTAGTTCATCATAACAAGAATTCAAGAATCCTTGCTCTCCCCGCTTCGGCTCAATTATTGGCACCCCAGAGCGAGGCATATCCGTTGGTGCACGAGTTGAAAGTACCGTCCATCGGTAGGCTGGAGTATGTTGATCTTCTGACTAAAATATCTCGGAAAA